CATGCAGTTTGCAGTCATCTTGGGAAGTGGTTACATACATATATTACAATTTGGTTTCATTTAATCCCCTACCCTTCCCTTCTCCCTGCCTCCACCAGTTCCCTTTTATTTTTGAGACAGAAATAAAGCTTTCAATGGAGCTTAAAGGTTATGAAACAATAAGGTGCTACTCTGAGAAATTCCACTTTCTGAGAGCAAATTTCATGAACCAAGTTCCGTTCCCAATGGTCTGCTGGTATTCTAAGATTTATTTTTAGTCATATTACTATTTAATCAGAAAAATATTTTTTTATTTCTTCAAAAAACAACTTCTTGTAAGTAGTGCTTCCTTTTAAAGAAAATTGTTTTTATTTTTTTAAAACACAACTTCTTATAAGCACTGCTTCTTTAGAAGGGCCATGAAAATGTTGACATACTCTAATAGTGAAAATTAAGAAGAAATTGTGGATTTACAAGAAAGTTTCTTTGCAGACAACATTTTAGGTTGAGATTCATCTCTACAGTGCTTAAAACTACAATTTCAAGTGTGGTCCAAGGGCATCATCATTGCAGGCAAACTTGGCACCAATGCAGGATCCCATTCCATGAACTCACTCCAAGCCATCAAAATCTGAATCTACATTTTAAAAGATCCCCAGATGATTTTATGTATTTTAACAGCTTTAAAGAAAATATCAATGTACCAACTCCCTACTACCTGAAATGCTATCAGGAAACCTAATGGGTTTAATCTAATGAAAAGTCAAAATTATTCTGCCACCTGCCTTGCAAGCCCAAGGACCTGAGTTCGATCCCCAGTACCAAAAAAAGCAAAAATTAAATTATGCAGTCCAAGAAGGTACATGACTCATATAAAATTGCCCACATGCCTAAGTGTATCTGAAGTGGTCCCTCTGATATCCATAACTCGTGGTCATCTCCAGAATGCACTGACCATCGTCCTAGCCATGCTCAGCGGCTGTGCTGTAGTCTTTCCTCCCTCTTCAGGTGCTGTGTTCTCTTCACTTCCTCAGTGCAGCACCCACTGTACAGAACACTAACACGAAGGTAAGGAGTACACAAAGGGTGGGAAAGATGGAATCTTCTTAGCCTTAGAGCCTATCGTGTTCTTTCAGAGTTCAAAGAAACCTAGTCTATCTATATGCCATATATGACTATGCCTCATTTATGTATTAAAAGAAATGCATCTTTTCATTAGGAAAAATTAAGACAAATTTTATTGTTCATTCCTGCAATATATTTCTATATTTCTTTGGGAAGCAGGTTTTTATAGTAGTTATGAATATCCCACGACATACATGACATGATGCCATTTTCAAAATATGATTTCCTATGTTCATACAGCAAGCTATTTTAAGAGTACCTAAAAACAACCCATAAGCATATGCTATTAAAAAATGAGCTCTCACAGTATACAAAGAGGATCAAGTAAAGCATCAGATGCCTTCTTAGCTTAAAACCTGTGACCAAAATTATAATGATTTTGTTTATAATTATTCTGAAAAAATACCCAGCAACTCTAAGAAAGTTATAACAAGCCTAATCAATGCTCCAATTGTTTATCTTAAGGAATACTTTCTTTAAATAATGTAAATAGTCTTCATAGAAAATGTTCTTGCTTGTATTTAGTACTCTTTGCTCTTTCCTACATTGCAGTAACATAAACACATCCAAGTAGAAAATGAAGGATTTTGGTTTCTGCCTCTGTTTGGGGTTAGTATTGCTTTTTTCCTCATTGAGTTTATTGGTACTTTTTAAGTATACAGTACAGCTACCTTCATCATTGGGATCCTGTACCTTTACATGACAGGTCTTGGTTCTCATTTTTCCCCTTACCCCTGCCCTCCTTCACCTCCTCCACCCTCCTCTATTAACAAAGGTTAGTATTTCCGTGTTATTATTTCAAGAAAGTAAAAAAAAAAAAAAGTGTCGACAATTTTCATCTAGTAGCATCGGCTTTTCAAAAATAATTGTATTAGGGTTGAAGTTGATTTTACCCAAATTTTCCTAATGTATGTTTCAGTTAATGGAACGGTTGAACGAAAAGGTGACCGTAGTTACAATGAAGCAGTGTCTCACTTGTCAGTGTCTGTATCCAACTCGCACTAGAGTTTGTGACCCTGGGTCCTGGCTCTACTACTCTCTAAGCCTGTACCCCAAACCAGTCACTGCAGTTATCTAGTCTTATTTTCCCTCTTCTGCAGCATAAAGCTAAAAATTAAGCCTACATTTTAAGTTTATCTTGAGAAATGAATGAGAAAAAATGTTTTAAAATATTTAACAGTGTCTGGCCCAGAGTAAGAGCTCATGTCATATTAGACATTGGATTTTTTTTTTAATCACACTATTATGAGCCTGGGATTGAGTTCAGTGTAGCCACCCCTGCCTTGCAAGTGCACTGTCCTGACTTTAACCTCTGATACAAAAAACAAAAACAACAGCAACAAAAATCAGTTTATCGTTCAGCCAAGTTTGAAAAACATCTAATATACAGAAGTCATTCTACCAAATTCTGAAATGCAAAATGACCTCACCTTAAAACAGCTGTTCTTATCCTTTAAAATGTAGAATGTAAAATCCCTAGATCTTTCCTTTCTCTTACAGCAGCCAGACTTACTAGAAAGGGTCTATCATGGTTTCTTCACCTCCTCAACCCTCATGCATTCCTCAACCCTCCAACAAAGAAACAAAACAAAAACAAACAGCTTTTTCACTGCAGCAAGCCTCTCCCATACAAACATTGATGAGTGTCTTTCTGATTCCAAATCTCATGATCACTTTTCAGCTGTAACTATGGAATCTCTTCTGTTTAGTGTCCTTTGTGATCTCCTTCTCTAAAATGCTGGCATACTTTCCCTGTCCTCACCCCTTTTTTTTCTCCACATCCAACATTCCCCATTCTGTAAACCTTTACTATGATTTCAGTAAATTCAACCAACTTAGTATCAACTGGTAGCAGATAGTATGATAAATATAGAAAGTTTATTTAATCAAGGACCTAAAAGGCTTTAAAAGATCTAATATAGAATATTTCTTATTTTCCTACTTTCAGGTATTTTCTTTATTTTTTATTCCAGTTTGATAAAGCTTTTCACAATTGGCTAACATTACCAGATACATTCAAATGTAAATCTACCTTTTGATTTCATAGATTGAAAATACCTGGGAAAAAACTGCACCTTGTAGCAAACATGTACAGACTTTTCTTGTCATTATTCTCTAAAAACAGCACAGTATACCAACTACTACATTTTATCACCCATTTTATATAAGGATCTGAGCATCTACAGATTTTGATATCTGTGGAGGGGTCCTTGGAACCAATTCCCTGGATACTGGATAGCTGTAGTAGGAAAAATAAAATGGAGATGATTTCGGCTTTACTTAAATTTACTCGTATAATTGGTTTATTTGGTGGATTTGGAACATAGATTTGGGAGAATGTTGAATTCCGCCTTATAAATTTTGAATGTAGAATGATGTTGGGCTACCTAGATGAAGATGGCCTACTGGTAATTGTACATGTGTATCCAAAGTCTACATATGGTATCAAATTGAAGCAATATCTTTGGAAATAACCTGGAAAAGCTTATCTAAATCTACATTCTTTAAGCTCTGTCCTGAATGCTTAGTCAAATCACAAAATCCCAATTACATTTTTATGGGAAAGACCCAAGTTTCTCTAGTACAATCTTTTTTTTAAAATTGAATTTATTGGTGCATTTTAGGTATACAGTGCAGTTACATTCATCATTGGGATCTTGTACTTCTACATGACAGGTCTTGGTTCTCATTTTTCCCCTTGTCCCTGCCCTCCCTTCACCCCTCCTGCCCTCCCCATTTACAAACAATTTATTTCCATTTTTTTCATTTTCTCATGTTTTTTTCTTTTCCCTTATTACCTTTCCCCTACACTTCCCACTTTCCCTACACCTTTAGCCCTTTTCTTCCTAGTTCAATCTTTCTTAATACTAGATTTTTTTTATTTCTGTTCATGTTATATGGTGGCTCAAATTTAAAATTTCTTCCTAATTATCAATCAACATGTATGTATTGAGAGCAGAATAAGGGACAAACCCTGTCCTAGTTACTGAGGATAATATAATAATTAACATAAATATGGTTCTTCCCTCTATAGGTTTCAGTCTCATTGGAGACTAAGTTGTCAGTCATCTGTAGTGAAGACATACAGATTTGTCTTGTCATTATTCTTAATCATGCAGTGATCACAAGTCAAAAAATGTCTAAGTAAAAGAAAAGCTAACCTGTTTTGGGCTCCTAGAGAGCTCCCTAAAGAAGTAACATGTACTGCAAGAAGGTAGAGTGATTTGTAGTCAATCATATGTTCAAGGAAACGCCTCCTAGGCCATGAGAGGATCTTGTTAAAAGATTTCTTTCTACAGCAAAGAAAGAATTTGGCAAATTGAAGAAAAAAAAAAAAGAAAAGACATGGGTGACAGATGCATAGTGAACAAAAATAAGAGCAGATAAGAATACTGATGGGGGATGGTAAAGGTTGACTTATGTGGATGAGCACCAGATGAGTCAGAGTTTGACCCCTGACGGGTTTGCGAACTACTGAAAGTCCAGGCAGCACATCTCACTATAGCGAAAATGAGAGAACTGAGATGCTTGTCTTATGTTAGCCAAATTTACTCTTTAAAATTTCAACCCATTTGATCTAATTTTCTCACTTGCACTGAGGCATATCTGATATACTGTTTACTTTACCTATTTAAAGTACGCAGTGTAACGTGCTGAGAAATTCATGTACATCTGTGACACATCATCACATTAAGTTGATGACAATAGTCATCCTGTCTGGAAGTTCTCCTTTGCAGTCTCTCATTCCCCAGCACCTCCAGTAAGCCTCAATTAGCCATTGATCCAGCCTAAAACATGGTGCATGAAAAAACTGTTTTGCAAAAGAATAACAACCGAATCCATTTGAAGCCATAGTTCTTTGTTTGATGTTGTGTTGGTTTCTCTGTCTTTTCCAGGTATGCAGTGCTATTCAGAATCAGGATTTCACTGTGATTGAAGACTACTGCACTGGCCTCAAAGCCCTGCTTTATCTGAAGAGCATTGAAGAGCTACAAGACTGGGATGGGCAGAGTCCAGCCACCATGAGCCACCAGAAAGGGAAATCAGTCCCACCTATTGCTGAACTCACTGGAAAGGTATGTGCTCACCTCTGTGGTGTGATTCTTGAGAGCTCTGCTTAGTGTGTTTCTATTTCAGATCTTGTTTACCTTCCCACATTCTCACTCACAGAGGAAACACAGCGCCTGGCGGATGTGATTTTTGCAATAGACTCATTCTGAAGCAGGTTTGATTACAGCTCTATCATGGGTCTGTGAGTTACCTTTTTATAAAGCCAATATAATACAAGGTCACATAAAAGAACAAGATTGAAGTTTGTGTGTAAAGTGCTTCCAAATTCTTGCTTACTGTGGCGCTGACTGGCAGTCTTTCCAGTGGGAGACTGCGGATTTCTTTATTCTTTAACAAGCTCTGGAAATTATAACATTACCTTTCTATTTCCAAGACAATCAAATCACTGGAGTCCTGAATAACATAATGAAGTTTTTTAAAATTAAAATCTAATCAGTATCTTTTGTAACAGCTTCTGCTGTGTGGTTAAACCTGGGCTCAAAAGGTTATGTCCCAACTTTCTCACTAACTGCTATTTTCTAAGAAATATACACTACATTTACATTTTGTATAATACAGTGATTTTAGCAACTCTTTTCTAAAACAACATTCAGCATTTCGCCTTTGTATTTCCTTTGTATTATTCTAAATAGACAACCATTGTCAGAAGACATTTCTTGAGTCCTGAATGAGAGAAGGAAAAAATTATAATTCTTAGTCTTTTCAGCTTGTCACTACATCAATAATTAACTTTAAAAAAAGAGAGGCAGTATAAAAAGATTCTTTAAGGAAGCATTTAATAATTCAAATGAATCTTAACTTGAAGCAGGTCACATGAAAAAGAATGGAAAACAAAAACCCCGGGTACCCTGCTTTGGATGGCTGGGTGAGGAACTCAGGGAGAATAAGAGAGCATCATATAACTGGTTATTCTACTGAGAAATATAACTGTCCCTCTCCTAACACATAGACAAAAATAAAACCATCTTGAAGAATAATGTGTATGATTGTGAGACCAATAATGAAAAAGAAAAGAGGCAAGGAAATAAAATCTTACAATATGAGTTCCAGGAAAATATCGTGATGAATGATTCCATGAGTGGCAATCAAACAGAAAGGCTGTGACATTAATATTTATAATATTGTAATTAGCAAGACAGTGCCTAAGCAGCACTGTTAGTGTAACTAATCATATTATCATAAACTGAGTCTGCAGTATTTAGCCAGAAAGGGTTCTTGCTTTTATCAATGATTGTCAATAACCTAGATTTGTTTACAACTGAAAAAAATTCACAAATGACATTAACTCGTTCAATGTAAACATCTCAAGGAAATTGTTTCAGACATGATGTATATGATCATCTATAAAAGCATTGTCTCAAATGTGGGTGGTTACCACGTGAGCTGAAATATAAGTAGCAGCATTGCACTGTAAATGTTTTCATCCTTAAAAGACTTTCACGGTCATTTCAAAACTTACATATTCAAATAAAAGATGAATAATGACTGGGAAACTTGTGTGGATGACACAAATGGAAATTGATTTTCTAACTAGATTCAGCCTTTATTTTAGTAAGGCCACCTTCATCAAAATCATAAGTGTATTTTTCAACATTATCAATTTTTAAAAAGATAGAGTTTTGCTATGTGCTTATATTGGTGATTCATTTCTCAGCACTAAGTTGAGGAACAAGCAGATGGTCTGGTAATAGATTTGTGCTCCTGAATTCTCTGGTGCAGACTGACATGATTACAACAATAGTGAATATCCCCTTTAGGTTAATATCCCTAGTATTGAATCAAAGTGCTCTGAATGCAGGGTACAGGTGGCATCCTAATTGTTCCTTCCTTGTGGTGTGTGTGTGTGTGTGTGTGTGTGTGTATGTGTGTGTGTGTGTGTGTGTGTGTGTGTGTGTGTGGTATCTTTGAAAGCAACTCATATTATGCTTTCATTAGCTCAAAAGTAGGCTGCTGATCCTTACACCTTATAGATTTTTTCATGCTAGAAGGAAAATGAGAGATGTACACCTTTTATTGGAAGACTCAGTAGAAGTAGCTGGCTTCTTTAGTCAGGAAAATTTTGCTTGGAATGTACAATTCTTATACCATTTAATCTTTCATTCATAGGTCAGGCTAAAATAAATTTGAGTACTTAGGAAAACCAATTAAAATGCAGTGTTTCATGATGGACACTAAACAAAACTCTGACTATAGAAAGAACTGTGCCTTGTTAGCCATGTTACCCTTCAAGTGATTGATACAGTTCATATACCGATATTCCAAGCTTATGCGCGCCTCATTTTCTATTTAACTCCCCAAGCAATGTTCCTTCAGGTAACTTTTGAAGGGAAAGAAGTGATGGTTTTATACTTTTACAGTGTAAATTGTTTAAATCAGTACCTAAAAGAGGAGAGCAAATCCTTGGAAAGAGTGGTCATCAGTTTTGCCACAACATAGTTGCCCATATGTAAATATTGGTGCTTAAAAACTATGAGTTATTTTAGGGGGAAATACAGATTTCCAGGCCCCATGCATCCTGACTCAGTTGATGAGCAGTAGGTCCAGGAATCTGCATTTTCCCATCATGAATCCAATGGAAGATTCTTCATTGCCAAAAGGAATGGAGCAGATGATAACAGCAACAGCACACCCGCAGGTTGAGAAGCTAATCTTGAGCAGAACATGGGGAAATCTAGCAGTAATGATTTTGAGCCAGAAAAGAAATGAAATAGAAAGAGAGGCAAGAAAGGAAAGTGAGATTTAACAATGGTTTCTAAATGGCCAACGGTTAGGGATACCTAATGAGGAGTCTGCATATAGGACAACAATTACTAGCAGGGTTAACAGCAAAACTACTAGGTTTGTGTGATGCTTCATTGCTTAATAGCTAGACAACTTGGACAAGTTGCTTAATCTCTCTAAACCTGTTTATAAATGAAAGACAACCACAATAGGTCCTCAATCCCTCATTATCACTTCCGAAACCTAAAAAAATGATGAAATCATTTTTTTTTTTTTTTACACATGACTCATTTGGAAGAAACCCTGACCTGAACTAATGTGAGCTTATAAATAATCTCTTCTTATTCTTCTTAGAGCACTTTTAAATGTTTACTGCAGACAGACTAATGTATTTGATTCCAGGTTGCTGCCCATTACCTTGCTGGGGCTAGAGGTGGGAGTGTTTAGGTCAATTTGGGATATGTGGACCATTTTACCTTTCTTAACCTTCTGCCCACATCTGAATCAATGCATGTTTTGGCTCCACATATTTTAAATAAAAACTTGTAAAAAATACCTAAGTAAGTGGGAATATAACTGCAGACATACGTTTACACAGAAATTCTTAGAATCGGAAAATAAGTGGATATTTTAATGATAGAAAATAAAATATTTCTCATGGGTGTTTTGAGATGTGGAAAATAAAAATTATGTTGAGATGATCTACTTAGAAATATGAAGGAGATAAAGCACTTCAGTATTGGAACAGAAAAGCACAGAAGGAAATGTTTGCACTGTTCTACACTGGGGATGACAGCAGGACCTACAGAAGACTCCCCGGAGCCTTGGAAGGAAAGCAGCAGAAGCCAACATCTTCTGATGGCTTGAGGTCCGCAAGATTTCTCACATGCTGTTACCTGCATCTATTTCAGCTTTCCAATTCACCAAGGAAAAATTCTTAAGCATCGCCTTCTCCTCACATTGACCCCTGACCTCTTAACAATCAATTTCTCCTTTTCTTCCTGAACCTCAGGTGCAGCGGATAGCACGCAGCAGTTGAGTTTGTGCATGCCTGCTTTTTCTTTTAGAGACTAAATCATATTATACATGGCTTATAAATAATAAATATCTTATTCATCTTTGTATTCTAATAAGAGCTTAATAAATGTTGTTTGAATAAGTACTAAATAAATAAATGAATAAGAACCTGGAGTGGTAGTAACATTAGAATTAGTAGTTACTTGACTCTTCAAGCTATTACGTTTTCTAGTACATAGATATGAAAAGAACATTAAAAAAAGCTTCCAACTTAAAATCCCATTTTGTGCATAAGCCTAGTTTAATAAAATGAGAGGGAAACAAGGCATAATAAAAAGAGCAAGGTAGGCAGGTAGGCAGCCTTCATACATTTTTGGCTTGACAAAATGTGTTCAGATTGTGACTCTCTTAAGGGCTCAGCTCACACCTCATGTGCCAGTGAGTAACACAGTGTCTGCCAGATTGGGGCAGTGGCACAGAAGCCAAATTGCTCAATGAATGTAATGATCAATCACTAATGTATCTTTTAATTTACCTTAAATTTCAAGTCTTTTACTAAACCATCTACGAATCTCTTCCTTTCATGCGAGGAAAGTCAAGACACTTCTTTCTCTGTCATAGTCCTTTGTTCATATAACTAGTATTTCTCATACTGTCTTCTAGTTATCTGTCTACTTGTCCACTGCTGCATATCTTTAAGAACATTTTGTGTCCAGAGATCATGGTCTTATTTATAACTGAGTTTTCAAGCACCCAGCACAATGCTACAAGTTTATAAAATTAATTGCACAAAATATTCATGATGTTCTTATTGAGGAGAAAAAAAGAAGAAAGCCAATTTATAACTAAAATTCAAGCTAGGCTCTTTCAAGAATAGCAGTCATTTTAGAAGAAAACAGTAAATGTGCCAAATTACTTTCAGTAGGTATTAAAACATGATAAAATACATATCAGTGGTATTAATAAGTGAATATAATTTTTGCTCATTAAAACCTTCCATTAGGATAAAATCACAAATGCTGTCATGGGCTTGTATAGCAACTCTGACAACAAGACTTTGTTTTGATGATGAAAACTAAAATTGTGTCCATATGACCGGAGACATCATTTTTAGTTATTTTTAAAGCCAAAAGAACATAGTATCATAAAACTACCATTATGTGGTTGTGGTGATTTTATATGTTGTTGTCTGTTTTTTATTCACTTCGGGCAAATTTTCCATCACAGAAAACAAAATACTCAAACATAATGTAAAGTCCACAACATT